ACTAAGGGCAGTCAGTGAAATTACTTGTGTTTAAATTAGATAAAAGAATGTTATTGCGAACTTGCTGCCACAGAAAGCAAAAGTCAGCAGTTTTAAAAAAGGATTACAGAAACCCATACACAACAACTTCATAGACCAATACCAAAGGAATGAGGCAGGGAATATAACTATGGATACTGGGGGAATCTCTGGGGAAGGGACTGTGCAAATTGGCCAGGCACCCATGCTGTCCTTAATTACCATCCTCTGCTGCCACTGCCAGTCTGACTTAGATGTGGACACTGGTTGGGCTAAGTGCATTGATGGGGTTTTGTCAGTACAGGACACGAGAAAGCACGATGCAAGCCGCTGCTATTGTCAAGGTAAAAAGGCCAGCTTATTTTTTCTGACTTCAGCATTTATAGTTTTCCAAAGGTGACAGTGGATTGGAGGGTGAAAGTGCCACCTCTCCGACACTGGACGAACTATTAGTCCATCAGATTTCTCCGCCTCTATGAAGGAATGCAAAACCAATAAGTTATTTGCATAAAGTGTGTGAGAAAGTTTGCTACAAGAATGTAAACTCAGAAGGCTTTAGAAAATTTAAAAAAATCAAGGCAACAGGGTAATTTTTTCAGAGTTCACAGAAGCTCCAAGGGGAATGTAAGAGGAAAACTATGCAGAGTGATATCTAAAGTGTTTTATTTATTTTTAAGGGGGATATTACGATAATTTAATCTGTAATTATTGACCAGATTTTTAAACTTTTCTTATAAAATGAAGCATTACTTTCATGTGTTATTCTTTTAATCTTGAGAAGGTAAGGCTGTTAACCCAGAGATCTTTTCCCGTACTTCTTTCAGAAAGAGTCCTAAGGAATAATAAAGTTCATGGATAAGAAAAAGAGACAGCACAAGCAGAATAATCACAATGATTGAAAATACATAACTAACAATTTTTGTCTATAATTATTCTCCACAGAGTAAAGCTGACAGAGCAGTCAATTCTTATACAGCTAACAGCCAGATCTCCCAATACAAAATCTGATATTACAGAGCTGTTATTTTCATATTGGCAAAACTAAAAACTGTAATTTTCTTCCTTTTTTCTCTTCCACTATACAATGATTGCAGGTGTGAAGAAAGTTCCATTCTCCTTTTGTTCAAGCTCCTCTGTGTCCCATCATAATAAATAGGGCAGTCATGAAACTCAGAAGATTTTTACAATTTAAAAACTGATTTCTTGTTTGTTTTGTAAATCCCTCTCAAAGACTCCAGAGTTACAGAACAACTGGCAATATACAGTGACCATCTGCATCACCTTCATTTTTTGACAATTAAAATTTATTTTCTTCATCCTTTGGAATTAATGCCTGATGATGTGTGTTCACACCATCCAATGCATCTGGGAAGACATTGTTAGTGAGAGAACATCAGAATGGGCAAACTGTACCATGGCAGACTTGCACAAAACACTTCAACATAATAGATGCTGATATAATTCAAATCAGGAATAAAAATAGTTATGATGCAAAGGGCCAGTGGTGCATAGAAGTCACACATAGATCTGAAAAGGAAAATAGTGATTAATTTATCTTCTCAAGAGAAGCTTTACTCAACTAAAATAAGTAAAGTGAAGTACTGTGGAATAGTCAGACTAGTCATTCACCTTCATTTTTATACAGTAAATAATTTTTAAACTAGAAAGGTATTGCCTTACTTTACTTGATTTATGAATATTATCCAGAAAAATATTTTATCATGCTACTAATGTTAGATTTCAGAAGCTCCATTAAATTTACTGGAATGGCTCACATACTTAAAGCTAAATATATATTCAGAGCTTTGGATAAACTTGACCTAACTGTTAAGTGTAGTGACAAAACTGCATCCAAAATAAATAAATCCAAAGGATAACTTGATATTAATTAAATAATAGAACAAAAATATATGCATTCTGCACAAAACCCCATAGAAACACATATCCCACTTACTCAAAAGATATGTGAGACAATGCAAACTGCCATAAAATATGAAAATGATTAGCATGTATCTTAACATATTTTGCCAATTAATTATGTTAGCAGAAAAGGTCAATAAATTGAAGGTGCACATTTCAGAGAAGTTTCTACTAAAGAACTTTATTTACATTTATTTAAAAAATTAATATAATTTGTGATACTTCACAATAAGAGAATACATTATTTACTTCTAAAAGGGAATAATACACCATTTAGAAATGTTTCTTTGGAATGTTAATACTTTGTCACGCAATAGTCTAACTGAACTGATATTCCTTAGGCAAACTGTACAGTGTCAAAATTAATTAAACATTTGCTTGTAAGGTTTCCTAAAAATAGATAGGAAAATCACCTAAAACAACAAAAATTACAGTATTCTGTAAAATGTGAGATATTATGATTTAAATGTATTTTTCCCTTTCAGTTCTCAGGAACATATGGCCATTAATAAAGTTTTGTGGTTTAGGTGTATAATTTAAATCTCTTAAAAGTACATTATGTACTATAGTTAAACAAAAATATAAAAACCCACATTTTATTAAAGCCATGCAAGATTTTGGAAACTGTATGTAAATAAACAAATAATTTTAGAAGCAGCTCCAGGAATCTGGTTAAGCCTGTGGTGACTTGCTTACAAATATATGCTAACATGTGTGAGAAGGAATATTTATTATCACAGCACCATAAAAAGGATTGGTATGGTGTCCTACACTTTCCTAAAGTAATAATTGAAGAACCAAGAGGTAAAATCTGAATTTTAGTAGGCCTACTATAGTCCAGCAGTTTATGCTGGGGAAACATGAAGATGAGGTGGCAATAATCATCATAGAGAATAAATAGCTTTATGGACAATTTCCACTGCATGTGAACTAATTCGTATGTAGAGATACAAAATATTTCTTTACATGGTAATATAAAAGGACTCATCTGGGCTTGAAAACTGTGTAATGTGATGTGAGTAGAGATAAATGTGCTTAAAAAAACTGAACACAAATGTGTGCTTTCATCGTCAGTCTCATTCTTTACCTTTCATAAAACAAGAAAACTACTGTTTCCAAAATGCTTGTAAGTAGCACTGCTTTCTTAATTGTTCTTTCATTCACACATATATATATATATATATATATATATATATATATATAGTTCTTGACTGCTGTGAAATCACAGCATGAGTCTCTTTGTTTTCAGATGCTGTGTTTGGAAAACAAAATAGAACAAAATTAAAGAGAAATAAGGAAATAAGAAAATACCTTACAGTCCAGATTCCCTCCTCTTGAAAAAACCTTCAAATCAAGCAAGCAAACAAAAGCTCACCGACCTGTAGACTATTTTCCGTTTTCTAATTCTTGTTCCAGCTATTTTCCATTTACACTGCTGTAGCCTAATGTAAACCTCAGTGACTTCTTCTTCCAGAAATGTATTTTTGTACATAAAGCTTTCTGTCTTCTATACAGTTTCCATAGCTTATAGTTTCCACATCTGTGCCTATCTTCACAGAGAGGCCAGAGAAGCAAGAGAAATTTTCTGATGTTGTTTTTACTGTCTTGTTCCTATAAATAGTCTTTTTTCGGTCTTGAATTTCTGGTCTTGAAAAGGACTTTGAATCTATGCTATCCTGGAGCTTTTGCCTGCTTTCTGCACTTTGGCATGATATATTTGACAAGGTCATAGAGGGAAAGAGAAATTTTAACATTTATTTAGCACTTTCTTCCCCTTTTAACAGTAAACCTGTACTAGTACCACTCTGCCTCTTTTCCCATGCCTTTATTCTCTTTTCATGCTTTGTCTTCTAATGCTCCCTTTCTCCTCCTCAATTTTGCTCTACCATACAATTATCTTGAGCAATAACCCACCCCATGCTGCCATTATTATTGTCAGACTTAGTAGCTGCCATCATTCTATTCCCTTTACACTTAAAAACAGAGATAAAGGTAAGTGTAAAGATAGAACACACAACAAAAATCAAGCCAGAACCCAATAGAAATAATTAATTTCCCAAATTTTTCTCCCCTGTGCAAAAAGGAAGGGAAGCAGCATGGTCTGCAGAGACTCTAAAAGTCCAGGAATATCAAACCTATTGCTTCCAGAAACAGTGCAACTCCTCCATTGCAAGGAAAACACTGAGTCAAAATATGAAAAGGCAGTGGCAGTAGATTTTTTTACCTTTTTTTTTTTTTCTATGATTCATTTTGGACATCTTACAATTTTTAAATTTGGTTTTGACAAATGACTGAAGCCTGTACAACTATTTAGAGCTCTCCTTGTGAGAGAGTCAAAGTGGTACTTTCAGTTAGAAACTGGAACAATTAGCAGAGGAAACATTAACACTAATGTTAATGATGCATTTTAGAAATGCACTATAAAAAGTCATGGACTATGACAATTTTTTTTTTTTAATAAACATTTAAAATTTAATCTAGAGACATGTAGTTTGTCATTATTTCCTATTGACTTTACTGGGTCTTGAATCCATCCTACTGTACTGGCCTATTTTCATCTCTTTCTGCCATAAACAGAGATACATATTCAAACATAGAGTTCACTGTTACCTTCTATTTGAGGAACACAATATTCATACCTAGGTTACTGCTTTTCTCCTTCCTAATGCTGGTTTTTAAAAGAGCCAAGAAAATAAAGGAAAATATTTTCAAGGATATAAAGAAATTATTCACAGACCTGTTGGAGTGAGTTCCAAAGAAGGGCCACAACAATGATTACAGGGATGGAACATCTCTTCTATGAGGAAAGGCTGAGAAAATTGGGGTTGTACAGCCTGGAGAAGAGAAGGCTCCAGGGAGACCTTAGAGCAATACCTAATGATGGCCTACAAGAAAACTGAAGACAGACCTTTTATAAGGGCATGTAGTGCCAGCACAAGGCTTACTGGCTTTAAATTTGATGAGGTTAGGTTTAGATTGGTGAGGCACTGGCACAGATTTCTCAGAGAAGTTGTGGGTGTCCCTGGAAATGTTCAAGGTCAGGTTGGATATGGGGCTTTGAGAAAGCTGGTTCAGTGGAAGGTGGCCCCAGGGCAGGGGAGTTGAATCTAGATGCTCTTTAAGATTCCTTTCGACCCAAACCATTCAACACAAACCATTCCTAGAATGGTATGATACATCTTTACCTGACTTTCTTTCCATTTCTCTGAGGGCTAGGGAGCAGTCTTCTGACTGTTTTTACTGTTGCAAGATGATTTAGATTTACTGCCTGTGCCTCACTGTACTACACATCCCAATGCAGATCAAGAAAACAATTTCCTTTCTGTCTGTCTCTCGAAGGTTATCCTGTCTCAGTTATCCTGGGGAGCATGGAGCTGGAAACATCCTGACTATTTTCTTCACAACATTTAAATACTTTAGATGACCGTTTTCCCTCACATGAGTAAATGTCCCCATATCTTTTTGAGTTCCATAGTAGCATGGGGAATATTATCACAGATGTTTCTTTCAATACTGTGCAGTTATTCTATTTCCTTTATCATCAGGGGTTTCCTATCTCCCAGAGATCACACAAAACAACAGAAAGCTTGCCACTGTATAAGAAATCAGAGCATTAATTTACCAAGGATGAATGAGAATGTCAGTCATGAACTAAAAGGAACAATATTCTGTTTAATAGGGGTTTTAAATAGTTATCTTTATCCTATTTAACATTTTAGCTCTGGTTTGTTTTTTTTTTCAGATTTGTAAAAGTAAATAAGCGCATTGGTAGAGAGGGACAAATAATGAGCTCAGTGATTCCTTTTCTATTAAAAAAATGTGACAGGATTGGATAATTCCCATTTTTATTTTATGGCATTTTAAATACATTAATTGAATGACAAAACATCTGAGAAATAAAAAGTTTTTAAGAAGCCTATAGTCTAAAATCTTTCACTCTAGAAGTATCATTCCAGTAAGATAGACTAAAAATTATATTTACCTATGTGCGTTTTCCTTGCATAACTTCTGCTGTCACAAAGCAAATAACCTTCCACTTGACCCAGTTTAAGTAAGTCACACAGGAAGCATCCTAATAATGAGACAGCAAAATTCTTTTTGTTGCCTATACTTTTGTTGTTTGTGAAGAAAAGAGGATGTTTAAGGGGACAACAGAAGCTCAGCTGAAGAGTTAAGAGTGGGTGGGAGTTAAGAAGGAGGATTTGACTTACTAACTGTTGCAGTGTCTGGGACAAGAAAACTGAGTAAACATCCCCTAGAAAGAAAACCATTTCTGTTCTGAAATATATACTTAGAAATAAGTTGTTGTGCTAGATTGCAGATCTCTTAGTGGTAAAGAATGACTGTATGCAAGCTCTCAAAATATCACAGAGCACAGAAAACAATACATCTTGCCTTCAGTAATGCATCTCTTATGCTTAAATCCTACTTTACACTGTGCTCTAGGTGATGCTGAAAGATGAACTTCTCCCTTGTGGGTCTCTCAAATAAAGGGGCATACATGGGACTAAAAGCAACTTTTGCTTCTCAGATCAAGTCATGCATTAAATGAAGCTGGTTAGCCCCAGGGGCAAATTTTTTAATATAAATTGCTGTCATTGCTTAAACATGTCAGAATTGAAGACACTTTTAGAGCTGGACACTCCGTAAAAAAGTGAAATCCACTTAAAGTTTTGCCAAAACTCAGCAAAAGTTTCAAATTTCATTTTTTTTTCTTAGTTAAATAGGCTAGATTTTATTGTGGTTAATGGACTCTGATCAGACTGGATATACAGTATAAGATTTTACCTCAGCTCTTATGACACTATTCCTGTCCTGGCCTGTATAAGAAATGTATTGCTGAAAGAGCAAATAATACTTTCAAATTCAAACAACGTAATCTGAAGCTCTGTTCCAACTTTCAGAGGAGACCTAGCTATATTTTACATAGAGAGCTTGTATTAAATTTGTCTCAGTGTGGGCTCTATTGAATCAGCATGATGCATATGGTGGATTTTTTTCACTTATTTTCTATTTCTTTTTTACTGGCAGTAGTTTCCCCAGATTGGACTAGTCCAACCCTGAGTAAAATGGCTAAATATTTTTTCTTGCTGCATCAGCTATCATGTTTTAGTCACTTGAGACTTATCAGTCTATATTACTGATGGTTCTATGCAACTGTTGCTCTTGTACAGAAATTACTGATTTTTTAGGCATTATGAAGCGAGTTGCTGCCTGGGTATTGACGAAATCATAATATGGCAGCAAGGAGTTCAGTGTAAACAGGCCCACTAAATGCTCACCTTGCTTTTTGTTGGAGCCCAGTGCAAAGCTGTGCTGTTAGCAGCAACGACACGGCCCAGGGTAAGCACAGAGAGCATTTGTCTGCATTGGTGACACCACCACAAAAACTTTTACATGACTCTGTAGTTCTCAAGTGGCTTGTAAACAAGGGCAGTTTAAACATGAATATGCAGTTTAAGATTATTCTGGCAAGATACAACGGAACCTGAGAAGTGCAATATGCTTTTATGGTAGATGATATAGCAGCATCGTAATTTAAACTTTACTAATGCTGCTGTAGAAATAAAGCCTAGACTTCTTTAAAATTGGGTTTTCCTAACATAAGTACTGCATTTAATTGCAGTGTCTGTTATTTACAAAAAAATGTTTGAAATAAAACTGTAATATAGTCTGTGTATGAGGACAAAACAATTGAAAAACAAATTAAAGCTATTACCACGTTGCTAATGTAGACAGAGGTAAGGAAACGCAAACTAACAAAAAAAAAATCCATAAAGAAACCCCAGAAATTCTAAAAGTTTCTCATCAGCCAAACTATATGTTCTCCTCACCCTTAGCAGGATTCCTGTTTGATTATTCTTGAAATTAGTTCTGATATGTTTCCTATTTAATGTATCAGATTTATTTATGGTTATATGGTAGCACCAGATGGAAATGCTAAGACCAATGAAAGAAGTATAGGAGACGTTTTAAACTGAGTGTTAATTACATGCTGAAAAAGTTCTAGCTTTCCAAGAAAAAAAAATTTCCAACTTCCAAAACCTTGCTATTATTTTCATTAAAAAAATAAAATCGAAGTTAAATAAAAGTCTTAAAATTTTCAGAGTACTGCTTTTGAATAATGTTATCCACAATTTTAAGACAGACAGTCCATTAAATAGAAAAAAGATTTGTTTTACATAAAGCAAGAGAGTACAAAAGCACAGCTTTTGTAATTTTCGTAATATTGCAGTTCTACAAACATATTGCATAGTATGTGTAAGAAAATAGTTCCCATCTTTTTATATATACTTCTATATACAAGAGAACCATTAACATGAAGGTTACAAAACAAAAATGGTTAGCAGACCTTTACTGAGTACTGTTTGGAACAATACAATGCTCAGATTTTGATCCAGCTTTCATGCGCTACAGTGGATCAGCTGATAACAATTCCATAGTCCAAGTTTGTGGATTTTTAACTTGTTTTTTATTTAGCAATTATTTGGAATCTAAAACCAAAGCAAAACAAATAAAACAAAACCCCCCTAAAAGATACATTATGTTAGCAACCAAATATCTCAAACATCCTTCATTAAATCCCTCTAGACAATTATGGCTCTATCTTCCAGACTCAATAACCCTCTGCATCTAAAATGGTCGAAAGTGAATTATTTTATCCAATCAATCCATTTTTACAAGCAAACCAGTATAACTTCATTTCAAAGCAGCAATATCTTGGCATGTTTTCTTAGGAACACCAAAAGACCCCCCCCCCCCCCTCACCTTATGCATAAATAGTAATGTAATTGCAAGACACTGAAAAAAATTTAAACCCTGGAAAAAAGTGAAAATCTACAGCTCAAAATGCTGCACAAATCTAAACTATGTTACATTTCATGTTGTAATTACAACTTTTCATCTTTTCATTCCAACAGAATTAGTAGAAACAGTAGTGTCATAGTGTTGGATATAATAGAAGTGTCTGTCTTTGGTCTTAACCAATGAATGAACTGCAATACAAACCATACAGCTGACAGTGCTCAGAGAGGTTGGCTGATGCTTTCACTTTTCTCTCTTCTTTTTTTTTTTTAACAAGAAAGAGACAGCATCCTATAATATGACACAAATATTTTTTACAAGAGATAAATCTATCATATATATTGAATACATGTAGCCAACAAGGTCTTTGCAGATATTTCATTGATATCATAAGAATGGCATCTTAATTTTTTAGAATGGTTAATGCATTGAAATCACTTTTTGAATACTCCTTGAAGTCATGTGGGCTAGAAATACTTTTTAAAATACAAACTTATTTCTTCCCTTCTTACAGTTTTCAATGGATATAAAGAAAAACATTAACATTATGAAATTCAACAGATATTAAGACTTTATGAGAACTTGTTATTCTACCTCATAGGTTGTTGAAGCTCTTAAATGTTCTCTACTTCATATTGATGGGACTCCAATAAAGAATATCCTGACAGTGCAGAGCTAGGTGAACTTACTGGGTTGGATTTTTGGAGTCCAATGTACTATCCATGTATCTCTTCTTAGTTCTCTTCATACAAAGTGGCAAATTATTTCAGTCTTGCTGTTAAAATTAATCTAGTAACAAGAGTTTTCTTCCTACCTGCCCATTCCCAACCTAGTTGGTGTAAAATTTATTAAGATTGGATCCTTCCATCCAGTGAACAGAAACCTTTTTTAAACAAATAACAGGTAAATAATCTCAGAAGGTGAAGAACAAACAAATAAGAATTTTTCAGTGGAAAATTCATGACAATGTATCTGCAAGTCATCTTGCACATTTATTTGAGGAGAAAAAAAACTCCTTGGCTTACCTGTATGCAATTTGTGGGAAGCCCCATTTTAATTTACCAAATAGATTAGTCACTATATTTGTTCATCTTTTAAGCAACAGATGTATGTAGATGTGCACAGATAATGAATACACATAAATGTGTCCTCATAGATATCTTTATACTTTTCTTCCTGAAATTCATTACTATCACTCTAGCATTCCATTACTTGTGTGCATAAGAAAAAGATATCCATATCCCTACATACAATAAGGGTGTATTTTATGGCTACACTTTTTCATGTTTTATTATCATCTTCTTTGTCACCTGTAACTCTTTTTGTCCCTCTTACTATCTGAAAAATCCTCATGTTCTAATATATTTTCTTGCAATATTATCTAGTATATTTTATTTCAAAGAAGAAAAATCTCAAAGAGACAAGAAGTCAGCTGTTAACAGCCTTCATTTGAATACATAAAAGAATCCATTCAAAACTTTCATTTAACTGTTAAAACCATCAAATACAGAATTCTTGCTATGGGGTAAAATTCACACCTCTGAAGAGGGCCACTTGTAAGGCAAGCTGTTGACATGTCTTGTGCTGGTCTTCTGCATAGGAGTGAATTTTACCTGAACTGAAAACAAAGTTAATCTTATCAGGTGGTAATAAGATGCCATGGCAATCAACATACTAGTTAGCTCATTTTCATTTTTTTTTTCCTCTCAAAATATATTTAAAAAAAAAAAAAAGTGTGTAGAAATACCCACCTTGCACCATCTCCTCCGGCCTTAGAATTACTTTGCAAAAGCTCTCATTTCATTGGTGATCTTAGATCCAGAAGCCTCCAAAAATACAAGCTAGGTGATGTAATTTAAAGAATAGAATCAAAAAGCACACTTACCTCACACAATCAAGCCATCTTCCACAATAGGAAACATTTTTATATTGTTTTACTTTCCTGGGTTCTGCAAGTTTCAAGATACTCTTGTTAATCAATGCCATGCCAAATTTACCAGCAGCATACCAAAGTGTTTTTCGTAAGATTTCAATTAACAATTAAGCCAAATAAGTATGAACATTGATACAAGAAAGAAATAACACATGAAAATTTTCAAAAAAGAAAGTCAGCAGTGACATCTGAGTGCAAATGTGGCTGCATAATTTAAACACAGACCTGGTAAAGATAATGTAATATTGACATACTTTTTAATACCGAATGTCATTTAATATGTGGTTCTATATATACTACTATTACTTTGAAACCTCAGCAACAGATGGTAAACAAAAGAGAATAATAAATGTGAATGTCATACAAGTTGTTAGTGCACTGCATCTCAACACCACGTTACATTACTACCAATGTTTGTACTGTGTTCAAGTGGCAGCAGATAGTCAGAAAATGGGCAAGATGTACCTTTGAAGATTTCTCCTGTGGTTTTGTATTTGCCAATTATGAGAACCTTGTGAAGAGCAATACACTGATCAAAAAACATATCATCAGAATTTCCTTCTTTACCCGGGTCTTCTTTTCCAGAAACTGTATGTTTGACTTAAAGCAATTGCTTCACATGCAGTGGCCATGAAAATATTATATAAGGTCATTCAGATCTGACAAACAAAAGCATGTGTTTTTAACATTTAAAGGAATATTGCTGAGCATTTCCAAAATTTACCTAGTGTACAAAACCCTAGACTTAGTAGACAAATAGTAACAACACATTTTTAAAGAAACCAAACTCAGGGAGGAATTTTGTCTCTTTTTGTATTAAAAACCATTTACTGAATTTGTTTAGTAAAGCAAGCATCACACAATGCTTTAAAATTTTAAAATTCAGGGATAAAAGTTTACTTCAAAAAGATGAATGGAAAATTGTGCTTTCAGACAGTAAAATTATTTATCATACAGGGGGAACCAATTAATCTCACCATCAGATTCTAGGTAAATTAATATACTCTGTCTCTCTGTCTCTCTAGATATATATTTATGTGCAGTTCATATCCAGGTCCTGCAAAAATCTAAAACTATGTGCTTCACTTCAAGTAGCAAAGGCACCTGTGTTATTGTTCCTTTTGGAAAATAAGGTGATTTATGTTCTAGGTTTCCTGATGAAGAATACATTGTTTTTCTGGATATCTCTCTCCCATCTCTGTGTTGAGGGGCAGCACAGACCACAAGAGGAGGCAGCGCCGTACTCCTGCTTACAGTGGAAGAAGTTGCTCTGCAGGCCCTTTGGAGCGTTGGACTTGTCACAAGGGAAACCAAACTGAACTGTGAAGCAGAGTGAAGTAACAAAAGGCTATTCTGGTGTGAGGATAAAACGGAGTCATTCTAGCTCCACAAGCAGATGTTGCTACTGGATTGACATGTGGAGCCTGCTCCTGCTGGGGACAGGTAAAGTTTACCATTGGGACAAGCACAGAGCTCATAGATAGTCTGGCGAGGAGCTGAAGAGCTGGGTGAGGAGGAGGAGGAGAAGGAGGAGGAGGATGAAAAGGACCCCACTGGTAGATTTCCCAGGCGTATTGTATCTGCGTCTAAAAATATCTAAAAAGAGGGAGAAAAAAAAATACATAAATTTTTATCAGCAGTGAGACATATTTTAAAGAAGTGCTTTGAGTCAGCTGTAATTTTTTAGAAATATATTTAAAATTTTAGAAATATTTTATTAGAACTATTATAAATATATATTAGAAATTACTCTTTTTAGAAGTAAAAAAGCTGGCAGCATTTATTGTTTTTCATCTCTGTGTAGTCATTTCCTGCACTAATAGTCATTATGACAATATATGCAATTACTTCACCGACATATTTATTCAGGTACAAATATTATTATAGAAAAACATTTAGACAATGTTCTTGAGTAGGTTGAATTCTCACTTGTACATTTTATTATTAACATTTATTCATTCATAGCCTCACCATATACTTGTTCTGGCAGAATTTGTATTTTAATAAGTGTGAAGTGATATTAAAGCACATTCCCCAGTGTGTTCTTGTAAGCAATTGAAAATATGTGCTGAACTGTGCTAAATTGTAGGGGTTTAACAATAGCTACTTCAAGAGAATAATTAAATGAGGTTACAAAGATATATGCACAAAATAAAGAGTTTTTTTGACCTAAATTAAGAGGAGGAAAGATTTCAGGTTAAGGTCTTGTTAAGAAGGTCATCAAGATATTCCCATTTGTTTTTGAACATTGAATATGGTTAAAAAATATTTTTTTTCCTGCCATTGGAAATAACATGATTCAGTATGAAACTGTAGCTACCAGTAACATAAATGAATCTGTGTTGAGTTCTCTAATACTTACACTTACATTTACAGAAAACTGCATGTCTTCTACTAGTACAAACAGATGAGTGTCCAGCTGCTCAGAATTTATTTTTTATTTATGGAAAGAGTAAATAAAAGCTAAAGTAAAATCAGTCATTATCTCAGGAGCACACTAAGAACTTCTAGAAGACAGGTATCAAATCAAAATGGCTTTAAGATCTGGAGGTGACATTTGAAACTTAGGAAAAGGTGAATTCCTTAAATATCTTCTAGTGTTTTTTCATATGGTATCTAAAATCAACAAAGCCAACTTGACATCATTGTACCACAATGTTTACAGTACATGTAAAGAACCTAAAGAAATATGGAAAGCAATTTTTTTTATAGGACATAAGTATTATTTTATAATAAAATAAAGTCTCTGGATCAAATTTCCATCCACAGAAGGCGCACTGTAAATGACTGGAATTATTGAAGGTAATATAGTCTGAAAGTAGCCCCAAGCACTACAACTCCCCATCACTGTAAGTCTCCAGCTCCCACAGTAATCATACTGTGGGAGGGAATACTCACCAAAAGGGATAGAAAGGGAGAATCTCAGAGGCAAAGGTGACATCTGCATGTCACAATGCCTGCTTTAATTCACATATGACTGATAGATGAAGTGATCACAAAACTAAAATGCAGCAAATTATTCTCTTTGTTCTGCAACTTATATAACAAGAAAATTATGTATTTAGATACACATACATACAATGTTACTTGGAAAGTCCAACCTTACAGACCTGATACAATTAATAGTCACAACCCTTGCAGAGACAGATACTATGTAAGAAATGTGGATGGTGTTGGGAGCACTTTAATAATGTTGTGCTAGAGTTACAAGTGAAAAAAAAAAGGTTTACACATGTTAAAACATTCAGCTCAGCTAAGAGTAAGTGTGAAAGTAACTATGGTAAATATAATACAAAAAACAAAATAACAGATGGAGAAAAAAGAGTTTAATAACAAACTAGAAACTAGGAACTGGTAAAATGTGGGAAGGAAACAACACAATAGTGAATGGAGTGACAAGTATACTTGTCACTAGTAATTAAAGGATTCTTTCACTTCTCATATCAAGAAAAAACAAATGGCAACACATCAATTTGTACAACAAGTAGTATCAGTAGAATTATCAATAGCACTGCATAAAAATCTATTAGCATTTAACAATGCAAAGTCTATGTAAGTATAAGTGTATCTTTTGTACTAAATGATGCTCAGCATAGTTCTGTACTTGGACAAAGATCAAAAACTGATGTCAGAACATGACTGTGATAAAACACTTTCAATTTCAACAGTAATTCAACAGGATATTAAACTGGAGCCTGTAATGTCACATACTTTTAATCAGCAGTTCTGGATAACTTTTAAGAAATAGAGCTAAAAAAATATCTGAGTGGCCTTTTGGACTTTTAATACTGACATTCAGTAAACCTTGTGTCATGGTTTAACCCCAGCATGCAGCCATGTCCTGCACAGCCACTCACTCACACCCCACCAGAAAGATCAGGAAGAAGCTGGAAGGATAGAAGCTGGAAAACTCATGGGTTGAGATAAAGACAGTTTAACTGTGAAAGCTATGCACAAAAGCGAAGCAAAATAAGGAATGAATTCACTGTTTCCCATGGGCAGGCAGGTGTTCAGCCATGTCCAGGAGAGAAGAGCCCTGTCACACAGAACGATGACTTGGGAACACAAACATCGGCACTCGAAAGGGCCTTTCCCTTATTCCTTCTTCTCCCAGGAGTTTTATAGAGAGAGGCTGATGTTATAGAGTATGGAATGTCCCTTTGGTCAGTTGATGTCACCTGCCCTGACTGTGACCTCCCAGCTTCTCATGCACCCAGTCTCCTCCCCAGCATGGCAGTATGAAAAGCAGAATAATCCTTGGGTCTGTGTAGTATCTGCTCAGCAACAACAAAAACATCTCTACATTATCAACCTTGTGTTCAGGACAAGAAAATAAACACTGTTGCAGCCAAAACCAGCACACCTTGATATACTTGGAATACCAAAGAAGAAATGAAAAAGACTATTTCTATGGAAGCTGGAGACATTAGAATATCATATATGGAATTATAAAAACCACTTCAATATAGAAAACATATGAATATACATGTAAGGCAATCCAACACAATACAATACAGGATATCTTTATATGTATATATATATATACATATATATTTATATACATATATTGATTGATTGTATGACTGGCCATTTTAACAGCTTAGCTGTACTCACGATGGGGAAGGTCCATGAGAAATCTGTAATACAAAATTAAATGGGTTCTAAAAGATATGTTTTGATTCAAACAAGAATTAACTCAAAAGATCAGAGGGCCTATGTGTCAGAGATCTGGCTAGAGTTAAATCTCTTGAACTTTATTATATTATTTGCTATGTGCTCAATAATTTTTCTGTTTGTTTACATCAGGACAGCTACAATTCTACAATCTATCATTGCAGGCATTCTGTAGTGTACTGCTCCAAGACTTTGATCCAGAGGACCTTACTCTGATGTGCATTACAATGTAGTTCAGTTATTTTGCTCATTAAATGAAATGATCTTTAATAAGCATAGCTGTGCAGGCTTTTCCACTGTATATCACCCTGTGATGTACAACAATCCAGGTTTATCTGGTATCATAATCCTGCATGGTAGCTATCCAGTCCTGTCTCAGCATGCATACTAGAACATCTAGTGAGCAATGTGGGTACTGAGATATGGTGTTTGAGAAAAATTGAACTGGCTTCTTGAGAGGGTGATACCTGCTGCAGTGAGTCCAATTTAATCCCATCCCTATAGCTACAATCTGGTGAAGCCTGAGTTGAAGAGGATCAATAAAGATGGTTTAAAGCCAGTATTAAAATCTAGCTTGTACATATGATGTCAAGGTTATCAATGAAAGATGAAATTTAGAGATGCAACATTGCTATCTATTAGTTAAGCAGGAACCCAAATATACTGCCAGAGTATCCCAACACATTAGGAATTTCAGTGTACATATTTGAGAATTTATGTTTTCTGTCCTTTGATCTGCTAAAAACTGAAATTCAAGGCTGAAAAGTTCTCCAACACCAGCAAAACTTAAACTACTTACTGTTTTATGCCTGATCTTACCAGGTGTTCAAAGAGAATGGAAGAAGTGGCAAGACAAAAAAAATAAACATCATGCTGTTTCTAGGGAACACTTGCTAGATGGCAGTAGTTAATGGAAATGCCTGTATGCATGGTCTTTCTCTATTCTGTTTTGCTGTGAGAGGTATGAGATAAAGCCATTTAATACGTCCCATGCATGAAGGCAAAGTAGGCCAATGGTACTCTCGAGAGTCTCACTGCTCAGCAGATAAATATGCACAAATAAAACCAAAGACTTCATTCATTCTTGAAACATTGTAGGAGACTGACAAACTGCTACTCAGAGAAATGTTATTTCATGGAGAGCAGAATGCTGAGCAGCATCAAGCTTTCTAAATACTTAAGGTTTAGAAATCCTAGATCATTGCTTTGTCATGTGCATCTTAGTGCAGAGAAAAATACACTAGTTCTATATTGTTTAAAAATAGATCCAATTTCTGACTAATTAAAGAATCAAACTTAATCAACCTAGTGTATGTGACAAGAATAGAAAAATAGTACTCTTTTTATATACACTTTTTGCTAACAAAGATCTTCCATTCACCTGCTCATCAGACTGTATTGTTAATCTGAACATTGAGAGAGAAAGGGAGAGGAGGGCAAGCCAGACAACATAGATTAGCAACAAAACAAAGAACTAAATTGAAGGAGCAAACTTTCAGTAGGAAATATGTAGGCATGAGGTAAAAAATCAAGTACTTCTACAAGCCTTAAATACGAGATATGAACCTCTCGTGTAAAATTCTCCAAAGTCAAGACAGTAAATGACAGTTTAAGTTGATACAGACAAATTTAAAAATTAGGACTTATAGACAATGAAGAATTTTCTTTCTGTATCCATGTACTCTTCAATTAAACAGGCAGACCTATAGGGCTGCAAAGGTGTACTTTAGGTCTATTGTAGATAAGAAATGTAAGGACACTGGGAGAAATATGAAAGAAAATAAAGAAATCTGATAGGTGGGTGTTAATCAACCAAAATGAGAAGACACTGTAGTGATGTCTCACTAAATAAACTTTTTGGATTCCCTTAAATAGTCAAGTATTCTGAATTACAGGAATGCAAGGCTTTTTCTTAGTCTTTT